AAAGATGCCTTTAGAGTGGTAATGGCTTTAGTTGCACAGTTTGATCTTAATCTTCACCAGATGGATGTCAAACTGTGTTCTTGAATGGCAATTTGTATGAAAAAGTCTACATGACATAACATAATGGTTTTATTGAATCTGGTAAAGAACATCTAATGTGCAGATTGAAGAGATCCATCTATGGGCTAAAACAGGCCTCTAGGCAGTGGTATCTAAAGTTTGATGAGCTTGTCACCTTGCTCGGTTTTGTTGAAAATGTCTCAGATCAGTGTATCTATCATAAGTTTAATGAGAATAATTTTGCCATTCTTGTTCTCTATGTTGATGATATCTTGTTAGCCAACAATTCAATAAATTTCATCAATGAGATAAAGCACCTATTATCTTGTCATTTTGACAAAAAGGACATGGGTGAAGCCTCATTCGTTCTTGAGAGACAGATTCATCATGATAGATCTCATGGTATTCTTGATTTATCACAGACCACTTATATTAAGTGGGTACTTAAGAGATTTAGAATGGATTCATGTTCTCCCTCATCTGCTCCTGTACAAAAAGATGAGCTGTTGTTAGAGTTACAATGTCCCAAGGATGATAAGAAGATGGCTGAAATGAGAAAGCTACTATACGCTTTCGCTGTTAGCAACCTTACGTATGTTCAAGTGTGTACTCGACCAGATATTGCCTTTGTTATTGAGTATTGGGTCGATGCTTAAATGATTCAGGTTCGGATCATTGGAAGGCTGCTAAGAAAGTTATGAGGTATTTTCAAGGTACAAAGAATTATATGTTGACTTACAGAAGGTCAAATTTTCTTGAGGTTGTTGGGTAATTTGATTATGATTTTAAGGGATCAGAAGATCTTGAAATTGTTGGCTTTTCAGATTTAGATTTTGCCTCTTGTCTGGATGATGATAAATCCACGACTGGCTATATTTTCATGTTATCTAGAGGAGCTGTCTCTTGGAAAAGTGTGAAACAGAAACTTACAACAGTTTCATCTATGAAGCTGAGTATATTGCTTGTTTTAAGATTACACATCACACTATATGGGTAAGGAAGTTGATATCTGGCATGCACCTAGTTAAGTCAATATCATGTCCTCTAACCATTTACTGTGATAGCAAATCTGCAGTACTATGCTAACAACCACAGAAATTCCAGTCGTACAAAGCATTTTGATATCAAACTTATGTTTGTGAAAGAGAAAATTACTGAGTCTCAGACCCATGTGGTACACATTCCTAGCACACAGATGCTTGCAGATCCGCTAACTAAGGGTTACCTATAAAAGTTTTTCAAAATCATGTAACTTGTATGGGTATTGTGAAATCTTTTGATGCCCTGGTTTAGTGGGAGTTTGAGAACCTTTTGCGTTGCAATTTTTCTTTAGGCTTTGTTTTTTCTTCTGTGAGTTATGTTCAATTCAGTTAGATGCGTCTATATCATTTGTATTCCCATAAGATTCAATGATTCTATTGTGGTATGCTATGCATGTCACTTGTTTTCCCATAGGAATCAGTGATTTATCTTGTTATCTTACTAAGCTGTATTTGAAATAAAATTTCGTATTTTATTCAAATTATGAGACATCATATCACTTGTTTTCCCATAGGATTCAGTGATTTTGTAGAGTTTCATTTTTTGAATTTTGTTTGTGGCTTGTTTATACAACTTGCTTAATTAATGCAATCTAAATGGGAAATTTTTGGAATTTTAATGTTAATCCATAATAAAATTCCAATAATCAAACGAATCTATCGTTACTTTGATTTATTCGATGGCTCAAATGCACTTAAATTCATTAATGTTAATTCATAATAAAATTCCAACAATCAAACGAATCTATCGTTACTTTGATTTATTCGATGGCTCAAATGCACTTAAATTCATTAAACTTCATACAGTAAAATTTAAAATATTTTCATCCAAAATTTGTGATAGATTGCAACGATAATCCTGTGGCAAATTCAAGAAAATTTTGCTTGCAAGAGAGGGACGACTTGTGACGGAAAATTTTCAGTGTCAGTTTCTTGTTTTGCCTATAGTAGATCAAAAATTATTCAAGTTATCTTGACTTATTTATGAAATTTTATTTGAAAATTGAAACTGGCTTATTTTTGACTTTGTTTTGCTTATATTTTTTTTCGTTTCATTTAATTTTACATACAGTAAAGAGGAGAAAAATCTCCATGATGGTAAGTGATAATGAAAGTTGGGAAAAAAGTTTTTGTCATATCATCTTCATACTGCAAGCTGGGCAGCTAATCCAATTTCTTGGGGAAGAAAAAGTCTTCATCCATTTAATACATAGGTCAAAAGTTGGTCAGGTTTAGAAAAATATGTAAAATCGTTTTATCAGGTCCATGCAAAAATTTATCAGGAAGGATATCCCTATGCCCAATATCCACTATTTTCTTACTTGTTGACTGGGCAATCAGCTCTGGAGTCTTCCCTTTGATAAATTCGACTTATGGAGAGAAGAATTATTGTTCCATATCAAGTTTTATGCATGGACTTGACGAATTAGTGCTCATGATATGGAAGATTCTCAATTAGTGTGCAGGGAAACGTTTCATATATAGTTCTCCACAAGAAAAAAAGAAGGGAAAATATCATTTAAGAATCCTTGAAGAGTTTTTATATCAAGAAAAACATTGAAAATATGAAATTTTACTACAGCCTCAGGTACTTTTTTAAAAATAAGATTTTGTGAGAAAAGATATAATTATCCATAAGATTTTGTGGATGCTTGGATTTTAACAAATAACTATACATAATTAACAAAAATACATTTGGAAATGAACAAGTTGCAAAAATTGATAGTGCAGGTCTAACTCTACAAGTGTTGGGTCCTACATAAACAAACATCCATTTAAGTTTTGATAAGTAATCTTACATAATAAACAATAACCTATTTGAAACTATCAAATGGCGATATGTGATGGCTCGTGTTTAATTGTACATGTTTTGGTTATGTATAAACAAGCATCCATTTAAGTTTTGACAAATAACCATACATAATTAATAACAACAAATCATGAATTAACAAGTGACTATAATTAATAGCACATGGTTGATTGTACAAATGTTGGTCCTGCATAAATAAAGCATCCATTTAGCTTTTTACAACTAACAATACGTAATTAATAACAACCCATTAAATTATTAAACTTTAGGGGTAATTAGGTTTTTTATTAGAAAATCTTATTTTCATTTAGGTACTAAGGGAGTGCAATGAAATTTTACATTTTTAATGTCATTCTTTGATATAAAAACGCTTGAAGTTACATTTTTAATGTCATTCTTTGATGTAAAAACGCTTGAAGAATCCTTAGATGATATTTTCCCCAAACAGTTATTATTGTGTATGTATGTACATGACATGCGAGCAGTTAGTATATATTCACTGCTACAAAAAAAAAAAGTTATTTTAGTCCATAAATGACAGTTAATACGCGTCATTTATTTAATTGACATTTAAAGTCCACCAATAAATGACGGTTATAAAACCGTCATTTAAAATAAAATTTTTATAAAAGCACAAGCAAAATGGGAATATAAATGATGGGTAAATAAATTACCTGTCATTTAAAGCAAGTATAAATGACGGGTAACTTAATTATCCATCATTTAAAGTATGGTAACAATTTGTACTATACTTTAAGTGACGAGTAAATAAAATACCTGTCATTTAAAGTCGAGATAAATGATGGGTATCTTAGTTATCCGTCATTTATAGTAGTATAAATTATGGTTATTTATATAACCATCATTTATTATGTGATTTTTTCTATTACGTGAGCTATTTTTATTCCAGCTTCTCTGTAAAAAGAAATCAAAATAACAGCAGCTAGTCATTTCAGATTTGAATATCAATGAAATTTATTATATTCAATTTCAAAATTAATCAATAAATAAATGTAATTAGATAAAGTAAACTATTTCTAAAAATAAACTACCTATTAAAAATATAAACTTCCTAACTACTTCTTCAAGATAGTTATATTGATCTTCTTTGTATGAGGTCCACATTTAAAAAATATATTGATACCATTCTTCAATTACCTCATTTATTTTGCATCCCTGAATTCTTCAACATAAGAATCATCATAGTACTACAATATATAAATGATCCACCATATATTAATTTTAATACATTAAATATTTTTGTAATTTAAAAGTAAATATTGTTGATATATCATCTCGGGAATTATGCTCTTGTTATGGATAATGATGTCCTTCATGAACCTCATGATGTAATAGCCACAACCTAACCTATTTTTCTATTGTCTTGGACACTAAAAATTAAAGAATCGATAAATATGTATTAATGCATTAAATTTTAATTTAATAAATAATTTCAGTTATCTTAATTATATTCCAAGTGTAGACTGCATCAAAATTTATAAAGGACCTTAGAATTGATTGTTTTGTGTTAGTGCGGTATAACACAATTGCCTTAAATGAAATAATAAAAAATATGTTAGTTTGGAATTTAAATAATTAAATACATATATGAAATACTTTATGCACTTACGTATTAATCAACTCGAATAAAATTTGTCTCCTCCCTGGTTTCCCTCCAAGAGAATCGAGATAATGTACTTTGGAGTGTTGCTGAATGGTTTGGCGATGATCAACATCCAGTAGTCCCTAATAGTATTAACAAGTGTTATAAAATTATAATTAATCTATTAAATTAAAAATAAAAAAATTATTAAGATAAGTGAGAATTTCATTACTCTCAGCAGTGTAGTATTATGAATAATGTTCCCTTTCAAGCCCTTGCTTTGAAATTGTTGCTTAATGCCTTTGCTTATTCTAAAATTTTGTCACTTTCAATTAAGCTATATGCACCCACTTCATGAGGACTAATGAAGATGAACTTCGTTTGTAGATTGAAAGGGACAATAAATTTGTCATATAAGCACCTATTATAAATATAAGAAATAGATTAGTTTATATTTAAAATATTAACCATTCATATATGGAAAAAATTACCATATGTAGAAGTTGAGAACAGTGAGACTGGTCATATCATGTTGAAGCACTTCATCAACAACATCAAGCGAAAGCATATCATATGGGTCTTCGCCATATATACTAGCCTCGAATGGGATTTGCAGGATCGGAGGATTAGACCTATGAACCGTTGCATATGCTTGGAGTAAATTTCTGTGTTGGCTTGGCAATTGAGGCTCTTGTTCAAGCACAGCTTTATGGGAGACTGCCTTTTTAGTATGCATCTTTGCTAGTTTTTTTTTTGGACTTGGCATCCTAACTTGACTAACTTGCCATCCAACAAAACTACCCATCACCTCTCTAACAATCCCTGCATCTTCGGTAGGAATAGGTAGTGGATAGTTCAAATCTTTCGACACATCAATAACAACACGTACATAGGACGCAGGGAGTGGCATATTATGTAGCATGTCCCTGGAAAATTAAACACCCGACCGATAGCAACCACATGATGATTCGGGCTATTTGCCAACAACTCACATAGGCTCTCACCCTATATTAATAAGTAATATACTATATTAAAGTTATGAGAAATAGAAATAGTGAAACATAAGTGAAATAAATTAATAATGTTTTACCTCAGGGAGATTTTTAATAGGCTGCATGACACTGTAACTACCTTTCTCGCTAGGACTAATATAAAACTCTGCCTTCCACCTCTCCTTGTCCTTTAGCAAAGCTTCAATCATGTCCCATTGCCTAGATAGCTCTCTTTTAGGGTAGTAATCTCAACCCTTGCACTTACATCCTCTGTTGACCTTACTTTCTTCTGTGACTTGAATATTTATTTTTTCTAGACACTAAAGCCATATCCCCTAACCGACCAGGGTATTTGGGATTACCCAATGCCTTGTCTAAGATATCATCATCAGGCGTGTCACTTTTCTCAATCTCGGCCTGTGCAATATATAGTAAAAAAGTTAAATTTGTTGATTGAGTATAAAAAAAAGTGTTAAGTTAAGTTAATAATGTACTTATACAATTATCGGCAAGCTCTTGAACACGTTCATCAACAATATTTCCTTCTTTATTGGTTCAGCCTTCTATGAAGAGTCTATGACGTGAAATTGAGCTTGCCCCTGAACCCTCTCACTCAATCTACAAATTTAAGTAAATGTGAATGTGAGTACAGTACATATATCCATGAAATAAGCTAAAATTATATAGTATAAATAGTAACTTATCATTTGTTGCTCAATTCCTGCATATCCTATACACCCCTTATTGTAAGGGTATAGATCTTTCTCATGTAACTCTTTCTTTTTGTGGCTCAAATCCTATGCAAAACACATGGAATCATATCAATAAAATTAAACATATTGATAATAATAAAAAATTAATTCATCCCATTATTCTTACTTGAAATTGTCCCTCAAGATGTTGAGCAACAAATTCATCCTACTATTCTTGCGAAACTAATGGCCTTATCAAGTTGGGGACCTCAACACTAATGTTTCCTCCTAATTTTTTAATGCATTTCACTCCCACGAAATACCGAAATATCCGCATTGCCTTTCCAGCTTGTTAGATGACAAATTTTATTTGACTAGCATCAATTGTAAATGTTGACTGTAAACAAAAACAATTAATTTAATTTTTGGTCAAGTAATTTCAATTAACTACCACGATATGAGTAAAGTATTTTACCTCTACTTGCTCCCAAATATAATTTTTCATAGCTAGACTAACATCTTTCCAGTGCCTAATTGTAATTGGCACATTTGCTTTTGCCATAACCCCTATGTAGCTAATGAATTTATTTTCGTTGGTCTTGATAGATTGATCTTTGAAATTCCATTCAACTTCATATTTCTGTCCAACAGTCCTTCTTCTATTCACCTCAGTTATCAATGTCAGTCCTCTTATTATTTGATTTGCTTATTGCTGAATTTGCTGGTCATTCATCTTAACGCTAAGATCAGCACTACTAGGTCTACTGAGACCAGAACTCCTTTGAGAAGTCATTTACCTACAAAAATAGAAAAATAAAATAATAATAAATAAAAATATAAAAAAATAAAGCACATAATAAGTAATTTATAGGTTTAATGTAAATCACACATTACAAAATAAATATAGCACATAATAAATAATAATAAATTTTTAAATCACACAAAACAAGTAACTTACAGGTTTAAATTGTTCTTTTTCTTTTTCTTATGTGTTCCTTATCTTTGCTTTCCTTCTTTGCTTGAATGCTTCTACCTCTTTTCTTTGAAATCTAAATACCTTCGTTGTGATCATTTCTCATATAAAAGGCTTCATCCTCAACAAAGTAACTTTCAAATGATATCCTCATAAAGGGATCATCTTCAACTATAGAATCATTCATATCTTCGTTTATTTTTACTACTCAATAAAATGATGGACCATTTTGCTTTAGCCGGATCAAGAACAAAGACCACTTGGTGAGCTTATCAAGTCAAAATAAAAGGCTCATCTTTATAACCTTCTTTATTAAAATCCATCATTATGAACCCCAAGTCATTAACTTTAAGACCATTTTTTCGATCAACCCACTTACAACCAAAAATTGGAACTTGAAATTTGATGTAATCTAACTCCCAAATATGCTCAATTACCCTAAAGTATGACATTTTTATGTAAAAGGAATTTTTGTCTTTAGTATTAGATATATGCACTACTTGGGCTATAAGAGTTACACCACTATTTTGCATTATAATCTTGCTCTTTGGTATAAAATGTATACCCATTAATGAGATAGCTAGTGAAGGAAAGAACTTATTTATCTGGACCTCTTGCCAACCATTTTAATTTTTTAGAAACTGAATTAGGATCGGCAGTTAACTTCTCAAAAATATGCTATTTCAACCACACTATAAAACTCTTATTATGCTTGTTCGCATACCAAATCTCTAATCTATTAGGGTTATCCCACTTAAGCTCGACCATATGCATCTCTACATACTCCTCAACCTCTATAGAGTTGTGTAGTACATATAAATGTGCTTGTTCCCATTGTAAGTTGAGATTGTAACTACTTTATTGCCCATAATTCCTTCTCCATCAGTTCTGCTATCACGTCAAGAAGTCGGAAGACCAATATGGTTGACATTTGATAAGTACTCAGTACAAAATTTAACTGCCTCCTCACAATTGTATCATCCAACTATACAACCTTCAGGTCGACTCCAATTTTTCACATGTCTTTTTAGTATCTTCATGTAGCGCTTAAATGAATACATCCATCTCAAAAAAACTAGGCCACACATTTGTATCTCTCTAATTAGATGAATAGTGAGGTGCACCATTATATCAAAGAATGCAAGGGAAAAATACATTTAAGTTTACACAAGATTAACACAATTCGGCTTTGCAATCTTGGCAATTTTATTAGTCAATTACTTTACTACTTATAGACTTGAAGAAAAAACATAATTTTATGATCGTTGCTCAAACTGCATCAAGTGAAATAGAACATATAGCCACTGGAATAAAATTTTCCATCAACACATGACAGTCATGTGATTTAAACCCTTTAACTTCAAATTCATCAATGACACAAGGCCCTTAATATTTGAAAAGTAACCCACTGGAACTTTAACAGTAGCAAGCGACTCACAAAAAATTTTCTTTTCTCTTCTAGATAGTGTATGAGCCATTGCACGAAGAAATGTGCAACTTCCCTTCTCTTGCAGAGCCAACTCTTCCCTTATCCCTATAGAAATCATATCAAGTCTTGCCTTGATGCCATCTTTGGTCTTTCTTGGAATATGAAGTAATATATTAATCAAACTGTCATACACATTTTTCTCAATGTGCATAATATTAAGAAAATATCTCATATAAAAGGATTGCCAATATGGTAGATAAAAAAAAATAGACCTTTTCTTCCACTCATATGTCCCAAGATGCTTAAAAAAGGTTTGTCAAACTCGATATTCAAAATCTTCACCTTGTCAAAATATTGCTCACCTATCAGTAGCAAAGGTACCTTACTTTTTTCTGAATTTCCATTAAAAGCTTTTTTAGGTGCTGATAATAATGATCAGGATGCAATCATTTATGATGTCCGAGATAGACATTCTTCATCCCATGCTCTAATCTCACTGAATGTGTGCCCTCTTCATAAATAGGATATCTAAGTTTTCCTTTGATACTATACCCTGACAAATTACCATATGCTAGAAAATTATTGATTGTGCCAAATAACAATGCTCTTAAATTGAACCTTTTCTCTCTATGTCCATCATATACCTCAACATCATGCTCCCACTATAATTTTAAATTTTCAATTAAAGGAGCTAAATATATGTCTATGTCATTTCCCAGCTGTTTTGACCCCAAAATTAGAATGAATAGCATTATATATTTTCGCTTCATACATAACAATGGAGGTAAGTTATAAATTACTGAAATAACTGGCCATGTACTGTGACTGCTACTTTGAAGCCCGTGTGGATTCATTCCATCAGTAGATAATACAAGGCGAAGGTTTCTATCTTCTGCTCCAAAGTCAGGATAATCGAGATCAATTTTTTTCATTGAGAAGAGTCAACTAGATGTCAAAGCTTCCTATCTTTGATCCATTCATCCGTATGCCATGTCAAATTTTTTACATCCTCTGCACTACTGCACAGCTGTCTAAATCTAGGTACAATTGAAAAGTACCATAACGCCTTCTTTGCATTCTTCCAATTCTCTTTGTAGCACAAGGCATTACATTGTGGACATTCCATTAATAATGCATATTCATTTCTAAATAATATGAAATCATTAGAACAGGCATGTATTTTCTCATAACTCATGCCAATTGAGCGTATCATTGTTTTACCTCATACATAGTCTTTGGAAGTTTGTTGTTCACAAGTAGAAGTTGTTTTATAAGTGTAAAATTTTCTGTAAAGCTCTTATCACTCCATCCATTGCCCACTTTTAAGTTGTACAATTTTAACACCGCTGATAACTTTGTGAATTTGGTGCAACCAACATATAAAGGTTTCTCTGCATCACTTTTCAACATCTCTAACATTTCAGGACAATCCTTAAGTTTCCTTTCAATTGCATTGGCCATCTCTTCAAGACAATCACCCTTATAAGTATCTGCGTCATAATCATCTAATTCAAAGCTTTCTTTATACTACCAATTACTAGTAGACTCATTCTCTCTAGTCTCTCCATGCTTATGCCAACACTTGTAATTTTTATCAATTCCATAGCACGTTAAATGGTCTTCCAACTCAGATGCACTAATTTGCTTCAAAAGACCACAAGGACACATTATTCTTCTAGGCTCTTTTACATGCTCAAGAGCAAACCTCATAAACTCTTTCACACCATTCAAATGAACATAATCGATTGGTAGACATCCATTCTTTATCCATAACTTTTTAATCTAAAGGACAATTCATTCAAAAAAATGCAATTAGTGACTCATGAACATGGAGAG